GATTTGTATGCGCAAGAGACAATTAGCAAGACACTCAGTATTTACTTCCGTCCTAACTCGTCAATCGGAATGAAAATTAACTTCTTTTGACAGGTAAAACCAAACTCATCAGAAAAATAGCTTACCAGATCAGCTTTCATCGCATACTGAATTACTCTTTGGGTACCAGCGAGATAAAGCCATTGCCAAATGGACGGGAGATGTCATTTGAATCTGATGGTAAAATCAATACGTGCTCTGCTATGTTGGGCGTTCAATAACGGCTTCATATCACGTGGCTTCAGCTGCACTTTAGATTGAGCCATCATTTTTCAGACGAAGGCATGAGGAAAAAACGGCTAAGCACCCCGAACTATCCTCCATACTGGTTTTGTGTAACCGTTTTCTGCTGCGATCAAATACAACTAACATCTTGCTTGGATATGATCGGTTTTATCCCTCTCGGTAGATATTTTGATGGAGTAATTTCGCTGAACATGCAACAAATTGGACTTATGTTCACATCGAAGCACTTCCATAAGACACCAATTGAGTCATCGGATTTATGCGCCTCCCGATTAAGTTGCCTTTAGGCTTCAATTATATACCAAAACCTTTGAACAGTTCATCCGGTTTGGGTATGGTGACACTAAAAAGCGCCTAACCAACGAGCCGCACACCTCTAGGTCAACTTTTGAAGCTCAACTTTTATGTTTCTTGGACTATGTTTTTAGTTCTTTCAGTATTGTGAATAATGCCTGAGTAGTTTATAGCCAAATAATTTATCAATTTATTTAAGCTAGAATATTTTCATTGATTTGCCTATTTACTGTGCCCTGAATAAAAAGAGATAAGCAATTTAGAATACGTTTACTCAACTTAATAAACACTCTAATGGAGCAATGATCATTTATTTAAAAAATGAATTCTAATACTGCTTGGCGTAAACTATTCTCGAAATCTGAGCTGTGACTTTCGAACTACTACAAATTTTATCGTAACACTCAAGGTCACGCGAATTCAAATGGCGATAGGGAAGAACTAAGAACATAGATGTGGGAGATAAAATTATAAATAAATACACTTTACCCATAGTCATCAATATACAAGTATGATATTGGAGACTGAAATATATATCGAAAATGAGATCGATGTACGAGTTTCATCAACACCTGTAGACATCAATTTTATCTTACTTTTGTTGGCAGGCTTAAACTTCTCTCTCCCTTTAAATAAATGAGGCCCGTGGTAAAATTGAAACCTAATTGACTGAATAAATCACGTCACCCCTCAGGTTTCACTTCTTCAGTTCTCCGCGGCATGTCGAACGTAATACAACACGAGGTTCAGTCAAGATATATATCACCGTATACAAAATACATGTTTCCCAAATAACAATCCAGTTTTTTCCCTGTCCCCCAAGGAAGATGAACTGCGGGCCTCACGCGGTCAACAAAATACCTCCCGGTCTGAATAGTTTGTTTTAATTTATGCATGCTGTGTGGAATCACAGAAAACTTTTCACCTTCCATAGGCACTTACGAAATCAGTTACAATGTCTGGTAGTTGAGAATTAACAACAGAAAACAATTGGTAATGCATTTCAACAATAAACAATGGCATCTTCAGTTAAATGCTAGGGGATTATAAATAATGTTGCGTAATTTGGAAGACACGGATGCGTAGTGCACACATACACATTTGACGACAGTTACACATTTTCCAGTGAACTTCGATTTGAAAATATCGTGTGTGAAAAACAATTACAATCAATGGTTACTTCACAGCTGCTCGAAGTTCTACTGGTTACAAAAATACAAACTAGCGACATGATTAATTGTACTCTGAGTTACGTCTATTGAATATTAATGTTTGGTATTCGTAGTTAGTGTATTAAAGTAACACCATGGAAACCGCCCAGTGGCCCCGGAGCATCTCTTAGTACAGAGAGCTAATGTTCAGTTTTGCCACTATTACGTTGCGCGTTTTACTCATCCGGTTCGACAGACACAGTTCAGTGAAAAAACAAAACACCGTTGTGCCACATCATTTACGTTGTTACATCACCAACTAATATTAGAGATGATTCATCGGTTCAAATGATCGCTTCTCATTGTTCGTCGCTCTAGGCATGCGCACGCAACTTAATCAATGCAAACGCAACTTCTAGNCTTCTAGTTCATTTGATCCAAGCTCATGTTTACTTAATCGATAGTTCAGGGCAGATCAAGGCTAGATAGCGTAAACTCTTACCGGCCGGGGCTAGGCTTCTAAATGGCATCAGTGCAACGATGGATTTGGGGACAATAGCCACTATTGGAGAGTTTTTTTCCTCTCACCATGTGCACGGAGGCAAGTTCGAAATAAAACGCAGTTGAAACAGTTTGTCCTTTTTGAAGGTATTCGTTTTCGATTAAAAATCCGGCTAATGATGCGATATGTTATCTGCAGACTAGCAACTGTTTTCTCAGGAGATACATATGAATGCAAGTATGGAAAAAGCAGTAATTGCTGCATTACTTGATACTAAACGGCTACTTTAGACTGTTTGCACTAAAACGCATATTGTGGACTTCTGCAGCGCATTGTTTGGGCAGTAACTAACTGAAAAAAACTAGGGAAACCTCGTTGTGTACCATAAACCCGTTGAATCAATCCATGATGAACTCGTGACTGATGTTTACCGGAGTCCAACGATTCGTTTCAAATGATTGGGCACAGAGGTTAATCAGTTAGACCGAAATATAGTCGTGTATTGATCACCTTGTTTTTTTTTCGGTTCCATCGATCTGTAACGAAGTGGAATTTTAAGGGTCAAAATTTTGTTCCACCTATTTGTATATAAACTTTTTTCCATATGAGGCAGCTCATCGGCAATTAAGCACAATCAGAACCTGAAAGCTCAAATCTCAAGCTTTCATACACTAAACTGAATGAGATTGTCCAATTCCAGGGAGATCATTCATTTTCTTGTAGGTGGAATTTATTCTTAGCTGTTCAGAGTTATTGTTGTTTCTCTCCATTGTAAGTAATGGAACACTATGATTCCCTTTCACATTTTGACTACTGAAAAACCGGATTTGAATGAATGCTTTTGCGAATATCCTGTTTTGTTTTTACTATTAGCCTGGTAGCACAATTTGAATAAGAGCTGAATTTTTCGCACAGTCTAAAAGAGACTTTTGTGCACTAATGCCACACACAAAAGCTTATGTCTTCTGTGTTTTTGATTTTTCGATGATCGCAGTGGTAGTGATAGTGTTGGTGGTAAAAAAAGCCAGCATTTGTTTTAATCAATCACCGGCTTCCCCGTTCGTTTTGTTTCAGCGGCTACAAATAGGCGGTCAATCAGGCTTAACATCTGCATGAAGACGGCCTCTATAACAATCTTTTCGATGGGAAAAAATGTAAAGTGATCAATGGTTTCCCTTTGAAACAGAGTAACCCACATTGGGGATTTGAGTTTCACGGGTATAAGCACCAGTTGCGGAATGAAAAAGCCACACGATAACATTTTACTGTAATTTTGGTTGTCAGATCACGGCTCGAACTGGTTGAGTGCTTTTACTCCGTCCCAGATAACTATATGCATATCCCAGATAGACTGTGGCGAAAGTATCAGTGATACAAAAAGCGAAACTGTATGACCATTCTAAACACCATTCCAATCGTGCAAGCTGTTTGCTTACAAACGGACTAGCAGGATCAAATCTACTAATTTTTAGAGTTAAATCATTTCCCTTTATGGATTGGTAGCCCTGGTTTATTCCAATCGAACTGCACTTAGTTCATTGATCATACGTCGAGAAAATAGACCGGATTAGTTAATTTCTTGTTTTTGAGAAAGAAGAAAGAAAGATTTAAAATTTGTTGTCTATCTGCTAAGTTGACTGGTGATCAACAGACTCAAACCATATCTATGATGGTGATACAATGCCGTTCTCGCTACAATCCGAAAATAAAAACTGAAACAGTGTATACACTTGTTACATATTTTTCAGTTTTTTTTTTCCATTTATTCTGTTGAAGTAAAACGGAGAATAAAGGACAGTAAGGTTCCCAATGTTTCATAATTCCGGGAGGTTAATGGTAACATGGGTGAGGTTGAAAAGATTGATTGAGTTAAACCGTGCATAAACAATTGGGAAATGATCTGATTAACTGTCCGGTCATCAATTGAGAAATGGGCTTGCAAACTATCTGTGAGATTTCGCGATTCAGGTTCGTATGGGTGATGAGAATTCAACAGGTTGAAACAATGGTACAGCTCTTCGGGTATTTTTCTGTATTCCATATAGAAAAACATTCATCGTGAAATAATGAGCAGCAAGCGTAGTTTAACTTACGCCGAAAATGCTATCAGATTTTCGAACTTGAATAATCGAATATTTATTTAATCATATTGAATTGTTTTACAAAAAGAAATAATGTTGATTGTTAAAATCTCGGAATGGATTGCAGCTACATGTCACTCTCCATATAAGACATTTGTATGAACCGGAATGGTTGCTTTTAAGCAGTATTCTTTATAAATTGTTGTTCGAATTTTGATTGAAGTAGGTAGCAAAAATAATTTATTACTCACAAACAATACGTTCAGATTTGTAATAATTTAGCATGGGATGCATATATCACACAGACACACCAACGTGGAGTAAACATAATTTTTTTCCCAGCTCAATATTCACGTTGAAATTTGAATGCAGTCTCCATGAGCATTGTGTTTCCAGAGGGTTATTTGACAAGTTCATAGTAGAGGCGGATAATATCACACCTAATGTGAACTACTCGGGCTGTTTTATTTTCTTTATTACTCATTTTAAATACTGCATGCACTGAGAAATTCTGCGTAACTACATTTTCCTTCAGAACTAACAACAAAATTATCAATCACTGGGTAACTTCACGTGGTGCACTGATAGAACAGCACGTTATTCCATCCAAACCGACCCAAACCATTGCACAATGTCGTGATATGTTGCGCTCATACTCCATGTTCTTACGTTTTATTTATTTTTCAGCAACAAGAAACCCTCGCCAAGCAGCGCAAACGAGTGCTGGCATTGGAAAGTAATAGAGAGGCCAACACCCCGGTTGAATCATTCGCCACTACCAAAGTCCCACCCCCGTCCGAAAGTGTGCGCAAAATGTTGACCACCGTGAAACAGCAACCGGTCGGCAAACTGTCGACAACCCCTTCCACTGGGACTGTGACCAGTGAAACAAAACCCAAAGTTTTAAACGGAGCTGTGTGCACGGGCTATGGACAAGTAACTGCAGGAGCACAGAAAGAGGAAAAGAAAGCTCCGTTGGCCGTGTATTCGGATGATTCACTAAGTTCGACCACCACAAATGGAAGTAGCAGTACCCATGAACCATGGAATTTGGATGCAAGTAAACTTCCTAAATTCGGCGGTTCTTTCAATCCGAGCAGTGTGGTCTCCATGATTGATGAGACAAGTGATAGCACTCTGGAAGGCCAGTCTGCATCACTTCCATCTGGGATTCTAAAAAGCATTGTGCAAACAAATGGAGGTGTGAAATCACCTAAGCAATCAAATCGTCCAGCAGGTCGAGGATCCAGGGCAGTCATGTTTAATACCACAGTAACCGTAGATGACGGTTCAGAGGTGCTTCGACTAAACTGCACTCTTGATGAGTCCGAATTGGGTAAGAATCGTGTACCTCCAACTGAGAAACAAGTCATTCCCGTCTCAACCAACAGCTCTGGGGAGAAATCCTCTCGTCTCCGAATAACCCCGGATAGAAATATTCCTGGCAAATCACTTGTGAAACCGTCCGCGGGGGCAGCACGTACAGGAACTGGCAACAGCCCTGCATCCAACTCTAATCCCTCAGATACTATTGTTCTAGAATCAGGAAACCGAGTGCCAAATCTAGATGATGTGGTCACCACAGTGTCAGAGCCTTTTTCTCGAGAATTGCGTTCCAGTGATGGCACAAGCACTGCTCCAGCTCCACCACCCCGCCGAAGCAGCCAGATAAGCAGTATTGGTGGTGACTTGGACAATGCTGCTCTCAAACCTCCGAACACGAAGAAAAAAGAGTACGAAAATCTGGATGCATTGGTGAGTTAATTTGCCACTTGAGTTGTCAACAGACATATATCCATTTTAGCAACGTCATACCGATATCAAGAAAATTTTATGCACGTTGAAACCAAAAGAGGTTGGAGATATACACCTTAAAATCCACTTTCTCATGCGCCAACTTATTTTTCCTAGATGGTCACTCAGTTCACGTGCAACCTAAGTTTCGTTGATTCAAAATTATTACTGCTAACATTTCAGTAGTGTGATTAGTAAAGATGATTAAACACAGCTAGCAAGTGTCACCTCTATTGTTCCGGCAACATCATTCTTTCGAGTTCATCGGACTAAGGTGAATAACATTGAGTCACACACAAAACTGAATGGTCACGAAGTACTTTTCCAGCTTGCAAATATTATAGATTCTGCACGCCGCTGTTATCTGAAAGTTTCGCTACCAGTTAGCTGAGTTGAAATGAATTCTGTCGATCATCCTTGTTTATAATTTTCATTTGGCAGCAATCCCCTTCCACAACCAAAAGAATGATTCCGTTAACCACACCTTCTGATGGGACTTCATCATTTACCACGACGAATGAATAAACCGGTGTCAATTCAATTCCATACTCCTGCTTGGTATGAACGGCCTATTTGGCCGTTTCATGACGAAATTTTTATGCAAACTACGCTGCTCCATTTATATTCCGGAAACGAAATCTGCATTTATCGAACATCGCGCACGCTCGCGAGTATGATCGTGTACAAAGCAACAAAATACTGCTGCGGATTTGCATAAATCATATCACTAAAATGTCCGGATCTCGAAACGGGAAATTGAATCAGTGAACAGCACCAAACTGCGTCTTCCCATGATTCCGGTAGTAGCCATCCGAGCGCCTGCATCATCCAGGTCGGTTCTCCTTTCCCGCTCCTTTAAGTCCTCCTCACCAACCCCTCTGGTTCGTCCCCGTATTCTCTCACTATACCCCCTTCTTTGTAGCAGAGGAACGGAATCCGACCACTTCATCGCACTGGTATTTTAATGCTTGCATCAACCATAATTTCCTTACTGCTGCTGCTGCTGCTGCTGTTTTTGCCACTCCAAATGATGCCCCTTCTTCACTCCACACCTCCCTCCATTTA